TCGACCGAGCACCTTCAGCTGGGTGAGTCCAGTAAAACTAATGCAGTCAGCATCAAATATCGAAGACTTACAGAACTAATTATTTTGGGGATTTATTTGTCATCAATAGGAGACTTGACAAGGACGTACTTACCTACGGATTGCTAACTCCTGCTTGGACCATCTGTGTCTGGCAAATGTCTCACAATTTACCCACTGCCACCATAACCGCGTATGCGGTAGGTAAATCCTCAAAATCAATAGCCCTGTAAATCATCGACATTGGATGCTGACCACATTAGTTTTAATGGACTCACCTATCTGAAGGCACTCGGTCATGCATCCGCACCAGATCACGAGTGGGAACGCCGTGTTCAACATCACTTGCAATCGCTAGCCAGATTAGATCAGTCGGCTCACTGAAATATTGATAGCTTATCAGATATATCTTCGAACCTCTTCGCTTCTGTCTTTTCATTTCACTTGGTGGGTACGATTCATTATATAAGGTGTTACTGAATAAAGCGTTATCAAAACCCAAATACCTGTGGCATCTTCACGGTCTACTCACACTGTATACCTTACTCGTTCCAACTAATGCTCTTCTGGTCAGACAACATCGAAGCCTGGTTTTGCTACGCAGAAGCCGACTTCTATGAGCACGGCGTGAACGACACGTGCACAATTCCTCGCAGTAGTCAAGGCACTACCGCACGAATTCAACAGGTAAGTAGCAATTTTCCAAACCCAAAATCGATCGACAAGATTAACAATTCAGGAAACTTCCAAACCGGCACGCGTTAACGGCGACCGTATCCGGCGAACACAGCCGTCTGTTACACGTCACTGATGTGATAACGAGAGTTTGCTACCTCGTCGATAGCGGAGCAGAAGTTAGCGTTCTCCCAGCGAATTCCAACGACTGGCTTCACGAGTCGGTTTTAAATCTACAGGTAGCCAACGGAAAGCCTATCGCTACGTATGGCAGAAGGTACTTTTACCTCATCGTGAGTTTGCGCAAACCCATTCACTGGATCTTTGTTGTTGCAGATGTTTTTATGCCAGTCATTGGTATAGACCTCCTACAGCACCACAATTTAATCATCGAAACACGCAAACGTGGGCTGGTAGACGGAAATACTAATTTGTCTGTTTGCGTAACTTCTTTTTCTGGTTGCAGGTTATCTCCAGTCACAATGAAGCACACGATAGACCGATTCTATCGACCACTACTCGATAAGTACTCTGGAATATACCAGTCGCGACAGAAATTGCCGTGTGTAACCAGCAACGTTACGTATCACATCACGACTACAGGACCACCTGTGTTCTCTAAAGCATTCCGACTGGCTCCCGGAAATTGAAGGTTGGCGAAAAACGAATTTGACCATATGATAGACATAGGTACCATAAGACCATCAAAGGACAGCAACAATTGGCGTCCAACTGGTGACTATCGGCGACTGAATACAAAACCCATTCTCGATCGTTAGCCGTTGCCTCACATTCACGATTTGACAGATACCTTGAAAGGTACAACTGTCTTTTCGAAAATCGACTTGGTTGGAGCGTATAACCACATTCCTGTGGCCACTGACGATATTCCGGAAACAGCTATTATAACTCCCTTCAGACTCTACGAGTCTTCGGGAATGCCTTTCGGTCTAAGAAACGCTGCCAAAACTTTCTAAAGGTTCACAGACAACGTTTTTCGAGGTCTCAACTTCGTACATGCGTATGTTGATGACTGCTTAATATCAAGTCCGGACAGCGAATCGCATCTCCAGCACCTGGATCTTGTTTTCGACCGACTACAAAATTATGACATTACTCTAAACATTCAGAAATGCTAAATCGGAACTGACTCATTGGACTTCCTAGGTGTTACATCCAAGTTTTCGCCTCTTCCCGTTATTGAAGTACTATATGTCGATCTATTTGCAATTTACGAACCCAAATTAACAACAGAACCAAACTCCGAATTAGGTACCAAAGTTTATTCGCAATATACAAATAGTCGACCCAAATGTCGTTCGAACAACAATAATTATGGCAATTACAAAAGAAACCTTCAATTTTGTAGGTTCCCGGAGCAAAAACTCCCAAATACCATACCAAAGACAAAGCGAAACCAAAATGTCCGAAAATAATGATATAAACAAACAAGTTCAAAAGTTGAGTAAAACAAATACATCCAAAAACAATGAAACTAACAACATAAAAGTTTTGACCAGTCGATGCGCAAGGTATCCGACCCCTTAGAAAAAAGTGGCGGCCATTTTGGATTACTCAGAACCGACCACCACCAAGCAATTACGCACGTCTAACGGCCTGGTAAGTTTTTATAGATGTTTCATACCAAAATACGCGTCTCTTATGAAACCTCTTACCGACCAACTTCGTGGAAATGCGAAATCCATCAATCTGGACGACGTCGCACGAAAAGCATTCTCCACAGTTAAGGAACTTATCGCCCAAGAAACAATGCTTGCTCATCAGAACGCTGAACACCGATCAGTATCGCAGTAGACGCATCCGACTCCAATCGGAGGAGTCGAACGTTTTCACCGACAACTTAAAGAGTCACTATCAGTCGCCAACATTTCTCAGTGGACTAACGCTCTTCCACCCGTCTTACTAGGTATTCGCAATGCAGTGAAAGCTGACAGTAGATACACTGCGTTTCAAATCGTTTATGGCACGACACTTCGACTTCCAGGAGAATTCGTGGATCCCTCATTCTCTTCGATGAACATGGATCTAACTTCCTACACGAACACGCTTACAAACGCGATGCGTTCATTTAAACCTGTTTCCACCCGACCGCAATCGACTGATGTTTTCGTTCAACCTGACTTACGATATAGTACACATATTTTGGTTTGCCGAGACTCATATCGACGATCTCTCGAATCAGCATACGAAGGACCCTTCAAAGTTGTTCAACGCCAACCCAAGTACTATATAATCGATAAGAACGGAACCAACGATAGCATCAGTATCGATCACCCCAAAGCAGCGTATTGAGAAGAAAATCCTATTCACGTCGATTTTCCTTCATTACAATCAAACGACACGGCTCCTACACTTATAATACATCAACCGACAGCCTACACACACGTTATTACTTGGGCGGTATCAGAAAATAAACTTGAAATAACCCGTTCTGGAAGAAGAGTAAGATTTCCAGAAAATCTGACCGATTATAGCACGTAAGATACTAGTTGACGTTTTATATCATCGATCCAATTTATCAACCAATAATGAAAATTATGCACAAACATACAAACAAAAATCAAACCGATTGGAGACGCAAGCAAAACAAAGAAGTAAACAGTGACAAATTTAGTGTCATTAAGAACCAATCAACATCGAGGTGAACCCAAATACTTGTGGCATCTTCATTCGTTTTCACCCTTATTCTAACAATTCGGTCTACTCACACTGTATACACTACTGAATAATTAACTTATCCATTTATTTCTTGAAACAGTCATCTCCTAGCACTCAAAATCCACTCTATTACTTTTCGAATAGCAAACAACCAACATCTTGCCTGTTAATGCGACAGCTTTTTGTATTCACAATCCCTGCTTCCATGAGACTGAGGGATAGTGTAACGTTATGCGCTATGTTAAACCCACACAGCTTATTCTAGTTTCCGGACAAACCAGCCTATTCATTCTTCTTGAGCCACGTTATGATCTTGTCACTTATTAGCTTATTTATTCTGACTGTTTCTGGATGAGCGTATGTATGTGCACATCTTATCCTACTCATCACGTATAACTAACGCGAGCTAAGTTGGTAATTATATACGAGCTAGTCAAGATGTATGTTTCGATACCAATCAACATACGATATAATTGGATTCAGAAATAGGGCCACTAAAAGGCAAACGCTCTCTCTCTCTCGAATTGCTACATAAACAAACCCACAAATGAATGCCAAACTGACTTCAGTCTTCAGTCTTCAGTAGTAAGGATAGTAGGTTAGTGAACCTGTGTTAATCCTAACAGGTTGGCATCCAGTGAAAATATTCACTGATGGGGCTGATACCACTTGATCGGGCAAAGCGTTCCAATCATTGACTACTCGATGAGAAAAACGGAACCCCACCTTGAGTTTATTAGATCGTGGTTTATGAACCTTCTTGCTATGACCTCGGAGATTATTAGTGCTGGAGGGAGCAAAAAGATAAGACATATTAACACCCAAATCATAATTAAAGATACGAAATGCCAGTATAAGGTCACCTCGAGTCCTACGATACGACAAGGGGAAAAGGTTTAAGCGTTTTAAACGCTCATCGTAAGGGAGTTTAGAAAGACCCTTCACTAATTTCGTTCCCACACGCTGGACACGCTCAAGTGAGGTAGTATCCTTTATCAGACATGGGCTAGCTGCTTGAATACATTACTCTAAATGTGGTCTTACATAGGTGGGATATAAAATTCGAAACATTTCCTCGTCAAAGGATTTGAACGCTCGGCGAAGTGACCACAACGCATGAAAACCTTTGACAGCGGCTGCGTTGCAGTGCGCAGTTGTTTTTAAATCATGACTTATTACTACTCCTAAGTCTTTATGTTCTTGAACGCATGGAAGAGGTTTACCATCAATAGTATAATAGTAACTATTGCCGTGACCGATGTGCATTAGCACACTCTTCCCAGAATTTATTTCGAAACCTCAATCTCGAGCCCATCTAACTAAATCGTCTAAGTCAGCTTGAAGATCCAGATGATCAGCCTCACCTCTTATTGCTCTCCATCCGCAAATAATAATGTCGACGACCTAAGCAACAGCGGTAATTCATTTACGTAGAGAAGCAATAGCAGAGGGCCTAAGATGGTGCCTTGGGGTACACCACTTTTGACCGGCTTCCAATCGCATAGCGTCCCATTGACCCTCACTCTCTGTCTGCGGTCACGTAAGAAGTTCCCTAGCTAGATTATCACCCAATGGATATTACCTAGTATCTGAAACCGTACTGAAACGACAAGAGCGAGCACAAATAAATGAGACGGTTTATACGAGCTCGTGAGAAAAATATTGGATTTTGGAGGCCAACGGCCTTGAACTGCCAGGTCATCTGGCGGTGTTGCTACTGGTAAGTCCTACTAGATACGCCGTTGTGTGTGAAGTGGCCACAAAATCCCTTCATCCATAGTGGTTTTTTCGCTAATTATTTGTCCTGTCTCATCATGCTGGTGCGCCTTATCTAGTGTATTGATTGCTCATTTCACTGGACATCCAAACGGGGTTAGTTTAATGTCTAGTAAAAGCCTATGTTTCATCCTTACAGTACTCCTATGTTCAAGAACTTTATTTCTTGTGTTAACATACGCAACCTACAATAAGACAACGCAGAAACACCGTTTCAAGTTAGAGGACCAAAAGATAAAATTTAACCTTCGTAAACACACTAAATTCTATATCTTTTGACCAGTTTTCCACTTTGTCAGTTACTTCCCATTGACTCAGCTAATCTGGTCGAGGTACATGCCCCGTGTCCATAGACAGCGATGTTAGGTCACCAGTCATATTTGACCGGTTTGGTAGGGGGTTGGAAGTATAGTGTTAATGTACATTTTCTGTCCCTGTTATCACTAGGTTTTTGTATTTGCATAGAGGTTTCTAAATAATTTAAGCAAAAGCTTTCGAGAAACCGAGGTATACCATGATGGCAAGCCATATATTCATTGCAGTCAACAGACTAAAACCGTTCTGTTGGAATAAAAAATGTTTGTAGATAACAAGTCGCTTAGGCTATCATACACCAGAGATTCCATAATCCTTGAGGGTACTGAAAGAGTTGCTGACAGACGGCAAATTTAAGTTTCATAGCATCAGTTGGCGTCGAAAATTGATGTGGTGAGTACCAGCTCTCGATTATCTGGGACTGCACCTTGGGTTATCAAATGAGAGGACATTGAAATAAGGCGCGTTGTCAAAATTAAAGATTAAAGTCCTGGTTTTTCTCCTTTGAACTGAGATAAAGGTCAGAGTGGTCTTTTAGTTTCATGATTATTAGAGAATCATCACGAACCTTTACTTTTATGTTGAGGTTGGGGTCCTTTGTGTTTCACCGTTTAATTGTGGTCCGAGCTCTCATGTTTCTTGATGACCGGTTGGACAACTTTATTAGCCGGTTGTATGAACAGTGTATTAACTGAGTCCCTCCCAAGACCTGGGCAATTGCGCATTTTCAACAGTGACGGATTCGTTAATCATGTTATTTATTTTATTATTTACCTATTTGAACACAAATATTGGTACGAGGGGGCACCAAATATATATGCGCCACACAAAACAATAAGAAAGGGAAGACAAAAAAAAGGTGAAGAGCGTAAAAGAGAAAAAAACCCATAACGACCAGATTAGTGTAAGGTAGTGTAATAATAATAATGATAAAAATGGGGGAAACGGAAATGTACAACCAGAAGGAATCTTTCAGTTAAGGAAGATACAACCACTTTTCATCAAGAGAGTAAAAGAAGGTTACAGCAGGATCGTCACTGGCTTCTAATCCCACCCATATCTGATGAAGTCTCTAGTCACTGTGTCGCACCATCTCTCGGACCCCAGCCAGGGTTTTATTTATTTATATTTATTTTACCACGTAGATATTGGTCCAGGTAGGCACCAAATACATATGCGCCACACAAATCTCATTTGATATGTGTGAGGACTGTGATACTGCCCGGGTGCCCAAACCGAAACAGGTGGTTTTCTTAGGGGGCCACAGCCGAGCCTTCGACCTGAAGATCTGACCCAAAAGGCAGTGGAGCATCGTGAGGAGATGTAGTTCCATGGTAGCCGGTGACCAACGATTGGTTCATACTCCATTTGTTCCTTCAGGATACTGGAGCCCATGTGCACCATTGATTTAGGATCCGGTTAAAGCGCCGGACATTCGCTTTTCGTCCTCTCATTTTTGTAAACAACACCCATGGTGTGAGAAGGCATTGAGTAGGACTTCCCTGGCAGAGGCTATATACGCGTGGCCATGTGAGAGCATTTGGAGAGGGAGAGCGGACTCTCCCCACTCTCGCCCGTACCAGGGCACTTGGGGGGCCAGGGAGTCATGAAGGACCAACAGAAGCCAGCCCTTTGCAGCTTTCTTTCATACCCCGACACCATGTCATACACTGAACAACTCTCCGCTCTTTCCAACCAGTCCCAGTGTCAGCAAATAATTCACGACATGGAATGCTCTGGGACGACATTCGTAAAACATGTCCAAGCCATCGAAGTCGATGTTTCAAAATGGTGACACTAATTGCATTATCGTCTCTGTGCTCGAACAAACAATGCTGAACCTCTTCATTACTAACATGGTGTTGCCACTGGATGTCAGCAATCCTTCGGAGACAACGATGATCAAACAAAGAGAGTCGTCTAACATCCTCAACTCGGAGAGGCCAGGTTTCACAAGCATAGAGCAAAACTGCTCTCACCGACGCGTACTCAATTCGCTTATGGCTAAAAGCGGCGATGTTCTAATTTAGGGACGAACCTTGAGCGGTGCTTAAGTGAAATTGAGGATGTCGACCAATTTACTAGGGTGAAATAGATTTTGATTGACACTTCTTAGGCTTAAAATTTCTCATATTGTTTTTGTTACTAAAAGTGTTGGTGTTTTGCTTAAACTTAATTTCCACACCTGGAGTACTATAAAAGCAATGGGTTTTTGCACACAGCCGTTAGATCTATTTTTTGAAGTCGAAATACTCTAGTCACCGTTAGATATCGGTTTTTAAGTCCACACTAACTTATTGTAAAAATTGACCTATTGTGTCAGTAACTTTGTTTCTTTTACATCATATCTTCATTTTCTAGTCTACTTCAACGTAATTCCATAAGAAACTACAACAAAATGGGTAAAAAGAAAGGTTATGGGAAAAGGAGTAGTAGTAGTAGTAGCAGCAGCAGTTCCAGCAGTAGCTCTGGTGGCAGGCACAGGCCTGAACGAATTGAGAAGCGACGCTTGAGGTACAGAAAGAAAATGATGAAAGTATGTGCTTTGAATTTTTTTATGTCATTAGAAAAACCGTTGTATTTGCGGATATTGCCCTCATGGTGTTCTAGCCTGCGACCAAAACTTTATGCAAAGATATCAGGTAATCGACCCAAATGTGTGATTTTTCACAATCATTCCAATCACCTTGCATTTGTGCACAAATTTTATGTATCGAACTTGTGTGAGCTAGAAAGTGTTGAGCTAAGCTAAATATCTTAGCGCCTAGTATTTGTTACTTAGGGGCTATATTAAAATACCGTGAAGCTTACGTCGCATGCATCTGAGTATATATTGTGTACGCTGAATAACTCGATTGCAAACTTGGGTCCAATTTAATCAGTACTAGGATCAAAACACCGTAACATTTGTGACATTTCAGTCATCAAATCGTTTGTTTAACCCAATATTACAAGTACTCGATTGCTTTCATTTTAGTTAAGTTGTTTGGCGGGGTTCGAACTAGGTCTCATGTTTAAAGCCCGACCGTTGTTGCTACCTTGACGTGGTGGTCGGCCTTGCCTATCGTGATGAAGCAACCAAGCTATACTGGCTAGAACAACCGTTCCTCTAGGTCCTACCATGCCAGACAGGTCAGTTGAAGAACGGTAAGACTAAAAGCAACAAATCCAAGGTCTGAGGGCGAAGTTGTACTGCTGACTGTACAGAGGTGTGACAGCAGTAAGATGTTTCCTTCAGACAACCAGCATCTGCAGCGATGTTGCCTTCCCACAAGGAGGGGTGGGGTTAGAAAAGGTCGACCCTAGAAATGCACACCTCGCCTTATCCCACGGATATCTGTCTCCGGCGGTAAGGTCTCAACAATTACGGAGCTAACACGAAAATTACTCATAAAAAGGTCGTGTGTGACCTACCTCAAACAGCTGTCCCTTGGGCACTGCGGTCACCCCTAATGCAATTTCCTTTTCAGGTACCTCCGGAAGAACCCTTCCACGGTGTGTGCAACCGGGAAGTGATAACCGATTTCATACCTCTAACAGCACTCAAGACCACTGTATTCATAATCAACCTCCCTCTTCAATTCCTATTATTCCTCCTACATCGACTTTCTACACTAAACTTCCTCTTTTGGTTTCCTCCTCAAGTGTAACCATAGCCAACGATGCTAGTGCGCAAAACACTGTCCCAGGTCTACTGAAATCTCGCTCCAAACTACACATTGGAGCCTTCAACGTACGCATACTATGTCAAATTGGTCAGCAGGCTTCCTTGGCTAAAACCCTAGAATCTCTTACTATTGATGTATGCTGTGTCTCCGAAACACGCATACAGGATCCTAGTGTGGTCATTCACTTGACCTCACCTCGGTGAAACGGAGAACCGAGATACACCCTCTGTGTATGTGGCGACCCGACGGCTAGTTCTCGTTGACTGGCAGGTGTAGGCATAGCACTAAGCATGAGGGTGGAACAAGCGCTATTAGAGTGGATCCCTGTTAACAGTCGTCTATGCGCTGCTCGGCTAAATGGCTCCGTAATAACTTGAAAGGATAAAATGCAGAGTCTTTTAATAGCACTGAGCAACAATGCCAGAATGTTTGGGATGCGCTTCTCTCTCTGAATGCATGTTGCTGTTTCACGACTGGTCCGCGTCAACACCTGAACTAAGGATAGGGAGTGAAGTAGTCGAACGCGTCGACAACTTCACTTATCTCGGAAGTCTGATCAGCCGTAGTGGGTTGGTGTCTGACGAAATCTCTGCACGATTCGAAAGCTCGTTTGGCTTTTGCCAACTTACGTTACCTATGGCGAAGGCGAGATATCCGTCTATCAATTAAGGGACGAGTATACTGCACAGCAGTTTGTTATGTTCTACCTTACGGCTGCGAAACATGGCCTTTAAGAGTTGAAGATACTCGTAAGCTACAAGTATTTGATCACAGATGTCTTACAAACATTGGGCGCATCTGCTGGGATCACTGGGTAAGTAATAGTGAGGTTAGACGCAGTGTATTAAGGAGTGATGGTAAATCAGTCAATGAGGTTATAAATCTTAATCGACTGAGATGGTTGGACCACGTGTTGCGTATGCCTGAACACCGATTACCACGACGCGCAATGCTAACCGGTGTTAGGGATAATTGGAAGGAATTTCGGGGCGGCCAAACCAAGACGTGGCATCAGTGCTCGAAGACACTAACTTCTGATTTGAGCCATGTTGGTAGATGCAGACTAGTTGGTTGGGGTCCGCGTGACTATCGTAACCAATGGTTGGAGACTCTTGGTGACATGGCTCAGAACCGATCACAATGGCGTCGGTGCATACACTCTCTATCTCTCTGTATCACAGCCCTCACACATATCAAATGAGATCTGTATGGCGCATATGTATTTGGTGCCTTCTTGTGCCGATATCTATGTGTTAAAATAAATAAATAAATAAAATTTATATGATCATGGGGAAAATTATGCTATTATATTAAGTAGTTACGTTTAAAGTGACTAGCAAAAATGGTTATGATGTAAGAGAGCTTCATCTAATTGAGTTGCGAGTTTGGAAAATAAAAAATATCTATGAAGAAAATGAACTATACCATGATACTAGTGTTAAAATTTCGTTTGATATTCTACTTGTGTGATTGAATAAATCTAGATCGTGAAGACATCACCACTCGTTTTGCGTTTTACTTAACTAATCAGAGAATAAGGTTAATGTAAAACAAATTTGCCATGAGTCCGCTTGAACAAACATAAAATTAATTAAAATTGTCAATGAGTGTTTTCGGTTTAAATGATCTGTGACCTTGCACCCTATTAATATATAACGTAATAGTACCGCTAATTAGAGAACAGCGATTTGTCGACCGGATCAATGACGCGTAAACCCGTACGAGCAGTCTAGAGTTTTTGTCGGTCCTGCTTCCTGCCTAGCCCTGCCTGTTAAGTCCAGAACACCAATCTCAGTCTCTGTGATATGAATCATGTATTTTGAACATACTGGGTTTATATACAAACCAAACAGACCACATCGTACCATATATATATATATATATATATATATATATATATATATATATATATATATATATATATATATATATATATATATATATATATATATATAGTATTAGTCCAGAGATAGATTCCAACAGTTACCATTCATTATTCTCATCGAGATATAAGAATCTGTCTTTTACCATCACTTAAAAACTTAGCTCATTATTATTTATTAAAATACTTTTCACTAAAGTTGTTCCCAACGATTTGTATATTAATCTTTTTTATTTTATAAGCATGGGATGACAGGAGGATATGGACCAGGTGGACAGAATATTGGAGGTGGTTATCAAAAACACAACCCACTTTACCCCAATCCCATGACACCACAATATCCACCTGCACAGCCTTTCAACCCCATGCAACAAGCTTCAATGATGCCACAACAACCCGCAGTCTGTCCTAATCCTGGCATGTTTCCACAAACAAATTCGTTCTCTCAACCCGGAGGCTCTCACCAAGCAGGTTATTTTCCGCAGCCAGGAATGCCACAGCAAAACTATGGTCCAGGTCATTATGGAAACCAGCCATATCCCTCTTAATTTTCTAAATCCTTGCAGTACGCACATATCTGCTGTAAGTTTACACATATTTTGGTTTTAATAAGTTTCTTACAATTGGTTGGTTTTTTTTTTTCGCTTCAAAACAGTCTATCAGTCTCTTAAATGGTACATATGCAACTGCAATCGTACAAGTTTGTTAAAAAGTTTAAATAATCCAAAACCACAGACGTGAAATATTTTTCTTCAAAAGAAGCATGTGTTCCCACTTTCGCATTTAGTAAGTACTGGGCAAAGTACTTCTACAAGACTTACTTACATACTTACGCCTGTTACTCCTCGAGAAGGAGCATAGGCCACTCACCAGCATTCTCCATCCAACCCTGTCCTAGGCAATCCTTTCAAGCTCTTTCCAGTTCTTATTCATCTTTTTCATATCTGCTTCTATTTCCCGACGTAATGTGTTCTTTGGCCTTCCTCTTTTCCGCTTCCCTTCAGGATTCCAAGTTAGCGCTTGTCTCGTAATGCAGTTTGATGATTTCCTCAATGTATGTCCTATCCATTTCCATCGTCTTTTCCTAATTTCCTCTTCAGCTGGAAGCTGGTTGGTTCTCTCCCACAAAAGGCTGTTGCTGATGGTATCCGGCCAATGGATGTTGAGTATCATGCGTAGACAGCTATTAATAAATACCTGTACCTTCTTGATGGTGGTTGTTGTAGTTCTCCAAGTTTCAGCTCCGTACAGTAGAACTGCCTTGACGTTCGTATTGAAGATTCTGACTTTGATATTGGTTGAAAGTTGTTTTGAGTTCCATATGTTCTTCAGTTGAAGGAATGCCGCTCTAGCTTTGCCAATCTTCGCCTTGACGTCTGCATCTGAACCTCCTTGTTTATCGACGATGCTTCCCAGGTATGTGAAGGATTCCACGTCTTCCAGAGTTTCGCCATCAAGAGTGATTGGATTGCTGTTCTCCGTGTTGTGTTTGAGGACCTTGGTTTTCCCTTTGTGTATGTTGAGGCCTACTGATGCAGAGACTGCTGCTATGCTGGCTGTCTTTATCTGCATTTGTTCGTGTGTATGTGATAGGAGGGCTAGGTCATCTGCGAAGTCCAAGTCGTCTAATTGGTTCTGAGCTGTCCATCGTATGCCGTGGTTTCCCTCAGATGTCGAGGTCTTCATAATCCAGTTGACCACCAGGAGAAACAGGAGTAAGATTCAACACAACAGTGATATTTTGTAGGGATGGTGATTTTACTCGTGGAAAAACAAGACTAATCATAAAGATAAATGGTAGAACTGTCGATTGAATCTTATTGAAAGATCAATCGCTACTCTAAGTGTTCAGCTTCTCAATTTCCTACGTTCTGTTTCCCCTGGTTTGATAAACATAGATATAGTATGGAACTTCGTCATTTTAAGACTAAGATTTTTTAAATAGTATCTTATGTAGCTTACAGATAATTTGCTGTAGCAATGAACTATTATCTCGAATAAATATTCAGAGTAATTATTAAACCAAGAAGTTGCTACGTTGTATAATATATGATAAAGAGAAGGAACAGAATTTGTAATGGATGGTCAATAGAATAGTAGTTATGTAAGAATCAAGAGATCAATGTTGAGAATAAGCAAAATACAAAGTTAAAAAAATAGAAGAAAATAATTTATCAATGTTCTGCTGCAAACGCCCCTATACCGATGGCCAAGGTAGCGAAAGTGGTTGTACAAACTTCTTTTGGATGCGAAGGTCAGGTTTGTGAACATGGATTTCAATGGCTTCAGCGATGTGCAAAAGGCGCACTTGTAAACCATGTGGCAAATTTGGTGGAATATGGTAGATAACCTTAAAAGCTTTATTCAGTTCAACTTGACGACCTATGTCAACCAAGTGAGCGAGAATAGAACTTTTAGTCACTTTAACCTGTCGTTTGTTTAACCACGATGGCTGGTGCTCTGTTATACGATGACGAACATGCCGAATTATACGCCCTATATAACTGGCTCCACAGGAGCAGTTGAATAGATAAATACACACAGATTTGGCGAATTCAGGCAATATGGGTGTATTGTCCTGTTGCAGACTTTCTGTGTAGCCCTCTTTTTAAAGTTCCATCTGCTCGTCTAGTCAGTTGGTCATCTAGAAACTATATGCTATAGTTCTGTTCTTCCTCTATTGTAAAATTAATTGATGAATGAACGTTATTAAATATATTAAGTAAATTGTCCTTTTTCTGATACTACGAGAGTATCATCCACATAGCGATAATAAGTTGGTAAATGGCTAATAGTGCTTTAAAGTGGTCCATTCTCCAGTTTCGCAAGGAAAATGTCTGCAGTAGAGGGCCCAATGGTGACACCATCTAGTTGTCTACAGTATTTGTTGTCAAATCAGTCAGTCAGTAACAACGTGGAACATCGTACGTACGTACATCTGCTCGAGTTGCCATACCACATTAGCACAGAGATTTAGTTATCGATTCAAATCCCGTAGTGGTAGATGTAGTGATAGGGAACATTAGGGTTTGATGATGTTATTTAAGGAGTATAGTCCACTGAAATATATTTGGAAAGAAAATAAAGGACATGGAGAATTCAAAAGATTGGAGTTTGGGAGAACACAGAGAGTGGATGCACCTGCGCCATTGCAAACGATTTTTAGCCATGTCATCCAAGATCTCTAACCATCGGTTGCTATCATCTCGCGGTCCCCAACCAGGTAGTCTACACCTACCAACATGGCTCAGTCCACTTGTCAGTGACTGCATGGATTTGTGCCATGTTTTGGTCTGGCCGCTCCTAGCTTTCTTCCAACCAAATATCCTCTACCCTTACCGGTTATGATTCCCAGCCATAAAGTAGGACGGAACGAACTGCTGCGCAGTAGACACGTCCTTTGGTTGATAGACGGATATCTCGCCTACGCCACAAATGACGCAAGTTGGCAAAAGCTAGTCGAGCCTTCTGTATCCGTCCTGAGAATGAATGTATAAATTCGGAATAAGTAATCACGTTAATGTTAAATGTGACGTACGTGCATAGTCATTGTACTTCCGTTCAAAGATTAATGAATAAAATCCAGTTAATGGTGGGGGGGGGGCAACTGTCATTTCGACTTGATGGCGAACCGTGTGAGCGGTTTAGTTGTTAAGGTAACGAACATGCGCGCCTTGAAGATTTGTGTTCACGCAAAAATACATGGTACAACCATTGTATTGAGGATTGTCTCTATTCAATACTAACAAAGCAATCATTCCCGTTAACCAACACTTGAGTGTGGTTTACTCACCCACGCGTCCATGACTATCAAGTGTTTGAAATGATCGGACAATTGAATCAGCATATTATCAATGGATAATTACTAAATGGAACCTGTCATTGGGATGTTCTTGTAATCTATGGATTTATTCCTCAAAGAGGTTTCTAAACAGCTTCACAAGCTCTTTCGTTCAGAGGAATTCATACATACTTACTTACTTACTTACGCCTGTTACTCCTCGAGAAGGAGCATAGGCCACTCACCAGCATTCTCCATCCAACCCTGTCCTAGGCAATCCTTTCAAGCTCTTTCCAGTTCTTATTCATCTTTTTCATATCTGCTTCTATTTCCCGACGTAATGTGTTCTTTGGCCTTCCTCTTTTCCGCTTCCCTTCAGGATTCCAAGTTAGCGCTTGTCTCGTAATGCAGTTTGATGATTTCCTCAATGTATGTCCTATCCATTTCCATCGTCTTTTCCTAATTTCCTCTTCAGCTGGAAGCTGGTTGGTTCTCTCCCACAAAAGGCTGTTGCTGATGGTATCCGGCCAATGGATGTTGAGTATCATGCGTAGACAGCTATTAATAAATACCTGTACCTTCTTGATGGTGGTTGTTGTAGTTCTCCAAGTTTCAGCTCCGTACAGTAGAACTGCCTTGACGTTCGTATTGAAGATTCTGACTTTGATATTGGTTGAAAGTTGTTTTGAGTTCCATATGTTCTTCAGTTGAAGGAATGCCGCTCTAGCTTTGCCAATCTTCGCCTTGACGTCTGCATCTGAACCTCCTTGTTTATCGACGATGCTTCCCAGGTATGTGAAGGATTCCACGTCTTCCAGAGTTTCGCCATCAAGAGTGATTGGATTGCTGTTCTCCGTGTTGTGTTTGAGGACCTTGGTTTTCCCTTTGTGTATGTTGAGGCCTACTGATGCAGAGACTGCTGCTATGCTGGCTGTCTTTATCTGCATTTGTTCGTGTGTATGTGATAGGAGGGCTAGGTCATCTGCGAAGTCCAAGTCGTCTAATTGGTTCTGAGCTGTCCATCGTATGCCGTGGTTTCCCTCAGATGTCGAGGTCTTCATAATCCAGTCGACCACCAGAAGAAACAGGAAGGGAGAGAGTAGACAGCCTTGAATTATTCCGGTCCTTACTTGGAATGCGTCTGTCAGCTGTCCTCCATGCACTTCTTTGCACTGTAGTCCGTCGTATGAGTTCCGGATAATGTTGACAATCTTCTCAGGAACTCCGTAGTGTCGAAGAAGTTTCCATAACGTCCTCCTATCTACACTGTCAAATGCCTTCTCATAATCAATGAAGTTGATGTAGAGTGACGAGTTCCACTCAATTGATTGTTCGACGATGATCCGTAGTGTCGCAATCTGGTCTGTGCACGACCGATGCTTACGGAATCCAGCTTGTTGATCTCGAAGTTGAGCGTCAACTGCGTCTTTCATCTTGTTCAGTAACACTCTGTTGAAGACTTTACCCGGTATTGACATTAGTGTAATGCCTCTGTAGTTTTCACACTTGCTCAGATCTCCTTTCTTTGGAATCTGGATGAGGTGTCCTTCTTTCCAATCCATCGGCACTTGTTCCTCCTCCCAAATCTTCTTGAATAGAAGATGAAGCATGCTTGTAGTTACTTCGATGTCTGACTTCAACGCTTCAGCTGGTATATTGTCAGGTCCTGCTGCTTTCCCGCTCTTGATTTGTCTGACGGCCATTCTGATTTCTTCTGTCGTTGGTGGATTGACATTTATAGGAAGATCTGTGTGTGCTGCTTCGATGTCCGGTGGATTCATTGGAGCCGGCCTGTTCAGGAGTTCCTCGAAGTACTCTGCCCATCTGTTGCGCTGTTGTTGAATCTCAGTGATTGGTCTTCCTTCTTTGTCTTTGACTGGTCTCTCTGGTTTACTGTATTTCCCTGCAAGCTTCTTCGTCGTATCGTAAAGCTGTCTCATATTTCCTTCTCTTGCAGCTTTTTCCGCCGTCGTTGCTAGTTCTTCCACGTATTTTTGCTTATCAGCTCTAGTGCTCTTCTTCACTTTCTTGTTTGCTTCTATGTACTCTGCTTGTGCTTGGACTTTCTCTGCTCTTGTTCGACTGTTGTTAATTGCTGTCTTCTTGTTCTTTCTTTCTTTGATCCTGTCCAATGTTTCTGTAGAGATCCATTCCTTGTGATGATGCTTCTTGGGGCCCAGAACCTCTTGACACGTTGAAGTTAATGTTTCTTTGATACCTTTCCAGCTATCCTCCATAGTAGTTTCTTCTTCCTTCAGTAGATCCTGTAAGGCTTGGAACCTGTTGTTGAGAGCTACCTTGAATTCATTGAGTTTGTCAGTATCTCGAAGGAAGGCTGTATTGAACCTTTGTGGTGCTGTTTGTCCAGTTGTCCAGTTCTTCTTTAGCTTCAGTTTCAATTTGGCCACAACCAGGTGATGATCTGAAGCTATGTCCGCTCCTCTCCTGGTTTTCACATCTTCCATTGTCCTTCGGAACTTTTTATTGATGCAAATGTGATCTATCTGGTTCTCTGTGGTGTGGTCCGGTGAGATCCACGTAGCTTTGTTTATACGTTTGTGTGGAAATGTTGTACCGCCTATGACCAATTTATTGAATGCACACAGATTTGCAAATCTTTCCCCGTTTTCGTTTCTCTCTCCCAGTCCATGTAGTCCCATGATGTCTTCATATCCGGTGTTGTCCATTCCGACTTTGGCGTTTAGATCTCCCATCAGAATGGTGAGGTCCTTTCTTGGGCACTTCTCTATGATTGATTGCAGCCTCTCATAGAATTGATCTTTAACGTCGTCGTTGCTATCATTGGTGGGTGCATAACATTGGATAATGTTCATTGTGATCCCCTCCTTCTTTGTTTTGAATGATGCTTTGATGATTCTGGATCCGTGAGATTCCCATCCTACAAGTGCATTTCGTGCTACTTTGGATAGCATTAGAGCAACTCCCTGAGTGTGTGGAGCATTTTCCTCTTCGTGACCGGAGTATAGCAGCATCTCTCCCGTATTTAGCCTTTGTTGTCCAGCTTGGGTCCAATGGGTTTCACTGATTCCCAGTACTGCCAAGTTGTATCTCCTCATTTCCGTTGCTATTTGACTGGTCTTCCCGTTCTCCCACATTGTCCGGACGTTCCATGTACCTATAAAAATTGTTGCTCTGGTTGTTAGAAGGGGCATCGGCCTCGTAGCTTCCGAAGGAACTCGGCTTTCACCATGAAGCGTCATATTACCTCTAACTCCCAGGGCAGGGTTTAAATGGTTTGAGTTATTTTTTCTGGTTAGCGTTTATTTAGCGAGTTAGGTTTCTACGGGATGGGGACGCTAACCCCATGCCCAACCCTCCTCCTTTACCCGGGCTTGGGACCGGCAGTAACTCTGGAAGAGCTACAAGCAGGAATCTAATCCTGTACTCATTCTGGATGGTGAGCAGATAGAAGTAGTCGAGAAGTTCGTGTATCTGGGTAGCTGCATAAGTGCTGGTGGTGGTGTGAGTGATGAGATCAATACACGTTTAGTGAAAGCCAGAGCGGCTTATGCCGATCTGGGCCATCTTTGGCGCCTTCATGATGTTAGTCTGACTGTAAAAGGCCGGATCTACAACGCGTCAGTGAGAGCAGTTTTGCTCTATGCTTGTGAAACCTGGCCTCTCCGAGTTGAGGATGTTAGACGACTCTCTTTGTTTGATCATCGTTGTCTCCGAAGGATTGCTGACATCCAGTGGCAACACCATGTTAGTAATGAAGAGGTTCAGCATTGTTTGTTCGAGCACAGAGACGATAATGCAATTAGTGTCACCATTTTGAAACATCGACTTCGATGGCTTGGACATGTTTTACGAATGTCGTCCCAGAGCATTCCATGTCGTGAATTATTTGCTGACACTGGGACTGGTTGGAAAGAGCGGAGAGTTGTTCAGTGTATGACATGGTGTCGGGGTATGAAAGAAAGCTGCAAAGGGCTGGCTTCTGTTGGTCCTTCATGACTCCCTGGCCCCCCAAGTGCCCTGGTACGGGCGAGAGTGGGGAGAGTCCGCTCTCCCTCTCCAAATGCTCTCACATGGCCACGCGTATATAGTCTCTGCCAGGGAAGTCCTACTCACTGCCTTCTCGTGACATTACTGTTGTTTACGAAAATGAGAGGACGAAAAGCGAATGTCCGGCGCTTTAACCGGATCCCAAATCAATGCTGCACATGGGCTCATATGATGTACCTATGAATTTCACTGACATATTCAAGTATGTTAAATCAAACGCGTGTTACTTCTGATGGTGTCCTATGAGCAATGTGGTTTTAAGAATGAATAGCTAAATATCACATACTGTTCTATTTATGCTGGAAATAATCAATGCTGTTCAGGAAAACTGACGATGAATACTCGCTCCATCTTGTCTAGTAGAATAGTTTGTTAGAAAGGAACTCTGAATCATTCGTTTGAGGAAATATTAACTCTTATAGCTTGATATAATATTACTTCAGTAATGATCGCTTAGTTTGTTCGGCGGGACTTTAGTAACTGAAAAGATGGTGCTGGTGTGACAGCTCAACGACTGGTCTGTTAAATCCTTCCTTCAGTTAAATCAGTGACATCTTCATCTTGCTTTCATAGCGAGAAATAGATCACCACCCAATATACTGATAGATTATTACTGTTGTTGCCATTATTCTTCTTACTATTACTATTATTACTATTATTATTACTACTATTATTATTATTAATTATCATCATTATTATTATACTCCCGTACACTTTGTTGCTTTGACTAAATATCGGAAAGCAAAAATAACACTGTAGAGATGAAATAAATTCATTTTATTTCGCATCCTCTGAATCGTCCGCATATGCACTAACTTTTTTTACAGCTAGAATCTAACACGTATGTAACGTGCGCAAGGTCATGTAGTTTACTGGTGAATAACAATTGTAACTACCTCTTGTATTCATACAACCTTACTTTGTAAAGCAACGAAATAATTGGGAGTTAGGTAGTTATGTAATCTACAATGATGAACTTACGTAACTTGTTATTAGTACAGTAGATAGGATAATAAAACTAATAGTCATCACAAAAGGCTATATTTAAGCCACCATTGTGATGGTAAAAACTATTGGATGTAGTATGAAAAAATGTGGATACTTTGGTGGCTGAATTGATTTATGTTGAAACAAGACTGTGTATGTTGATAACTCAACGATACAAGTCACTTGAACAAGTATGTGGTTCAGCAAAGAGGTCTTTTTTCAGCGATTACCGCTCAATATTGCAAATTGATTAGAGTTAGAAATGCAGAACGGTGTATGTCAACTCAGTGGTCTGGAAGTCATGAGCCCAATCCCTGGTAGGATTGTGCATACTCACGGTGCTCAGTTGTTTCATACTAGGATGAAACAGTCGTTCAGTACTTCCTGGTTTCCAATGATTGTTCAACTAAGGCCAGTCAGTGATGCAAAAGTGCATAATCCAATCGTCTCAATAATCCCATATAATCAACTAAAATCTATCTCCTTGTTGTTCTGCTTTAATGATTTCATGAGTCACGGGGTATTTTTTATTTATTTTGCTTCTCTGTTACCGTGACCAATAAATTATTGTTATTAGTAAACATATTATTGTGAAGTTGTATGGCTTTGAAAGAAAAGCCACCTAAAAGAAAACCTTTTACTGAACCGATTTCTTGTTTCATATTCGAAGATTATTAGGTTTGCCAAACGATTTGTGCATTACGTAATGATATCCCCTGCTCGGTCCGTCCCTCTGTAAATTGAACTTGTACAGATGTAAGAGACAGTTGTATATAAAGTCACATTCTTAAAACATCCCATATGTAAAAAAATCAGTCCACATATGAAAGAGCCCCTGAAATAGTCTACTAATATCATGATGGTGATTAATCACATGACTATACTTTTACATGTGCTCTACCAAATAGTGAAGAATATGGTACGAATAATTCAAATTTTTTCCTAGAGAAGACTAACAATTGACAGGCTGTTTGTGTGCGCATCCAATTATCTTTCAAGATTAATTGAAATACCAGTTGGTTTACAAAGTTAAAAGCCTTCACAACCAATACAACTGACTTTCTCCAGCCCAAGTTTGTTTCGTTTGTTCTCTGATTCGGAACTTTATGACTGTCACTTGCTTATCCTCAAATAAAATGCAAATTTATCTTATTTCTCCTTAAATTTGTATGGCGTTCTATGTACACATAGTTTATAATCATTTTTACAATAACTTTCATCGCACTCAACTGCCCAAATCAATACTGGCGTATGTTAGAAATGTCAAGTATTGCTGACATTAAACCTAGGACACTTAGTTAAGATGACACATCTGTTGATGAGACAGTGAATCTTCAACTGATGTGGTTTGGGGGTGTATTACATGTGCTCAAGCACCTATTGCGAAGTGTGATGTTAGCTGGTGTAGAAAAGTTTGGAAGAAATATAGGGATGGGTAAACCAAGATGTGTAGACTACTTAGCTGTACTCCATATTATTATTATTATTATCGGTAAACATTAATGGGAGGGAAGTGGTTGATCAAACTTCTCTACAGTTATCAGCTCATTCCTGTTATGAACTACAATTATAATTAGTGTTGTTTATTGACTAATTTCATATTTGTGTAATCGGCTCTAAACCGCACTCAAAATTTAGGCAACTTTAACTTTCGGTAAAAAAGTATGAAGTAGTGTTATGAGGCTTACATATCATCCGGTTACGGAGTTTGACTGTAAACCATCATTACTGTGATAGCAAAATTATCATTTCTTTTTCTTTTTTTATAGATAACAAAAAAAATAACAAGATATTTGCTTGTAAGACTCTTGTCGTATATTCTATTTAGAAACGTAATTTGATTTATTTTATACTTTTAGAATTTTCTGTTGTTACTCTGTTGAGGAAATAAAAGTACTAAACAAGTCAGTCTTTTCTCAAGTAAATTCTCAATGAACATTCTGCATGTCGAATCGGTATAATATAGCCTGAAATCCTGGTCTTAGGACTGGCACGCGTAAGCAGATTTCGTTGCTCGCTGATGAGTGATCATTAATATACAACAGACTCAAGGATAAACTTCTAGTTTCACTAACAATTTTTTACGAAATGGAGTCAGTCAACACTAAAGCACATTAAATATATGTTATGCATACATTACAATCACAGTTGGAAAGTTCGGTTGTATTAGTTGCTTACTGAAGACTCTACTTTCAGGTTCCACTAGTATTTTGAATCTTCTCAAAAAGGAAATCGACGATTCTATAAATTTACAGCCTTACTGTCGCATAATACTGGTTTACATTACCGTTAGAGCTTTTGCATTAAAGCAATCAGTTTGATCTGTCAGTTCTTAAGTATGAAATTTCTTATTGGAGAATGAGATTTGAAAATAATTTTTACAGTAATCGTTTTATTGTGCTTCAAGCGACGGTATGCCGCTCATCCGTAAACACTGAGCTAAATAGAAATTTTGTAATGAATTGGAAAAATGGGTGATCAGTGAGGTGATGCTTTAGTGAGAAACAAGTCCTAGTAATAAAAGGGTTGTGTCAAGTGATGCAAAAATGAAGTGGTTGATTCAAGACTTTGATTGGGTCTTATCGCTTCGTAATGTCTCTCGGACATATGATCGCTTTCTTGGATCTGAAAAATTGCCGAAGTGGCCGGCAACCTAATTGGTAATAGATGAACCGACCAACTATTGAGATGACGCTTATTGGTCATCGATCTCTTTCTAGCCCAATGTTCAATAAGGATATCACAGTAAACAGACCAGTCATCTGTACTCAATTCGCTTATGGCTAAAAGCGGCGATGTTCTAATTTAGGGACGAACCTTGAGCGGTGCTTAAGTGAACTTGAGGATGTCGACCAATTTACTAGGGTTAAATAGATTTTATAATTTAGTGTAGGGAACCAGGATTAGGATTTAGAAATGGACATTGGAGTTTGGGTTTTCACTACGAACTGACATCAGTCGTAGTGCCAAAATACTATCTAGCCATGTGGATGGATGGATTTCTCACCAACATCCAAATGGTTTAACCATAAATTATAGTCTCACCCTCAAGTTTTATATAAAGTTTACAGCAAGACAACTGGGAAATCACAATGTGCACATAAACTAATCATAAGTGGTACGGAACGAAAATTTCGGGAGAGTAAATATTTATTGTTATAGACTAGAGAATGCCTGTCGTTGCGGAGCAAATACAGACATTAATTCAGCAGAAATAACGGTCCATTGAAAATCAGTTAGGATTTACGAAGGAATTACTGATGGGATTGCAGAATCCTCCACTTTTTGAAAATATGGCAGAAACTGATGAAGCAACTTCTAATTTTCACACAAGTAGAAAATATCTACAGAATAAATTGGTGCATCACTGAAGTGCTTCTTGAAGCACTGACGAGCAGTATTTTGGATGGTATGTTGACCGCCATAGCTTGAATGCGGATCCGGATTTCTGGAATCGATTGTATGTCTTTCTTTAGGTTCATCGAGTCTCTGTACGGTTGTTTATAAATTCTGTATTATGTCGAATGTACTTATTAGTATTAGAATTGACAACCGAATAACCTGGTTCCTGGAATTGTATTTGATTGACTTTTGGGCTGTATTTACTTAAATAATTGATATCTAGAACTGTACTGAACAAGAACACCAATGAGGACATTTGAATGTATTTGAGCACATAGTTACAGAGCATTTCAATAAAATCTGAGAACCATATATTAAATCGTTAATTTGCAAAACATCAATCCATCATATCAGACTTGACTGTTCCTGTTGCAAACATCAATCCATTGTCTCAGATTTCATTGTTCATGCATTTTCATACCGATTGCGTCTCGTTTCCGTTCTTTCCTTATCGACCTACCGAAATATATTTTATGCCTTACCACCGTCATATACTTCTTGTGTGGATATAAGTAACCCACACCACAGAACCTCTGCATTACTAACATGGTGTTGCCACTGGATGTCAGCAATCCTTCGGAGACAACGATGATCAAACAAAGAGAGTCGTCTAACATCCTCAACTCGGAGAGGCCAGGTTTCACAAGCATAGAGCAAAACTGCTCTCACTGACGCGTTGTAGATCCGGCCTTTTACAGTCAGACTAACATCATGAAGGCGCCAAAGATGACCCAGATCGGCATAAGCCGCTCTGGCTTTCAATAAACGTGTATTGATCTCATCACTCACACCACCACCAGCACTTATGCAGCTACCCAGATACACGAACTTCTCGACTACTTCTATCTGCTCACCATCCAGAGTGAGTACAGGATTAGAATCCTGCCAGTCTTGTAGAAGAACTTTGCACTTCGAAGGTGCAAAGCACATACCATACCTACGGACATTGATTGCCAACTGATTAAGTGCGGATTGCATGGCTTGAACATTCTCGCACAGTAAGACAATATCATCCGCATACTCAAGGTCGAGAAGTCTTTCTCCAAGCAACAGATCCACACCACCATTACTTACATCCGTCAGAGCTGTTTCCAGAATGTCATCGATGGCAAAGCTGAAGAGGAATGGTGAGATTGGGCAACCCTGTCTAAGTACATTGCTCGAATGGAATATTGGAGAAAGGTGGTTATATGCCCTCGCTCTGCCTGAGGTGTTTGTATATAGGGCTTTTAAGATGTTAATAAACTTTTCAGACACACCCTTCTTCAATAGATAATCCCAGAGAACAGTCCCATCCAACGAATCGAAGGCAACCCTGATATCAAGAAACACTACGATTGTTGGCCTTTGATAAGTATGGCGGTGTTCTAGCATTTGGCGGAGGGTGAAGATAAGATCAATGCATCTTCGACCGGAACGAAAACCCGCCTGCTCTTCGCGAGTCAATCTTTCTCGGGTTTTGAACAACATACGAAGTATGATGGAAGCCAATAACTTGGACGCAATCGGAAGTAGACTTATCCGCCTATAGTTGTTACTGGAACGACGTTAACCCTTTTTATTGATAGGGACAACTATCGACTCATTTCATGACGTTGGTACACTCTCTAGTTCCCAGACCTTTGTAAACAACGTCGTCAGTCCCTTAGTCAGAAAGTCACTATCATCTTTAAACAGAGCCGGAGGTAAGTCGTGTGGGCTCGGTGATTTGTAGCACTTCGAGAGTTGGAGTTCCTTGCGGACTTGCGCCTCATTTGGTGGATCAGTCGTCACCGGCCATGGAGAGCAGGACAGTCTGATCGATATTGTCGGAGTAGCAGACCAGTTGGACTGCCCTTCGAAGAATTCTGCCCATCGTCCAAGAATTCGATGGATGTTAGTGATTGCCATCCCGTCAACTTCATAGATGTGTTGCTACTGGCCAACGTGTGTGAAGTGGCTACAGAATGCCTTCATCCACAGTAATTTTTCGCTAATTATTTGTCCTGTCTCATCAGGCTGATGTGCCTTATCTAGTGTATTGATTGCTCATTTCACTGGACATCCAAACGGGGTTAGTGTAATGTCTAGTAAAAGCCTATGTTTCATCCTTACAGTACTCCTATGTTCAAGAACTTTATTTCTTGTGTTAACATACGCAACCTACAATAAGACAACGCAGAAACACCGTTTCAAGTTAGAGGACCAAAAGATAGAACCTAACCTTCGTAAACACACTTAGTTCTATATCTTTACATCCAATACCTAAAACCGTAATGAAACATTAAAAAGCGAGCACAAGTTTTCTTGCTGCTAGTGGCTCAGATGAGTTAGAAGAGCTTCCAAGAGTTATCAGATGTATCTTCTGCTCCCAAATACCAAATACACTCACACCGGATAGAGGAGGCTGTGCACTTGCAGGTCAGGTATGTGTTATACCATTGGTGCACTAACGAAATCCAACAGCGGTGGAGTCAAACGACCTCTGCAGGACAACAAACTTTCACAGAGAATTTCGTTTCAAGCCCTAACCTTTACTTTATTTGCTTTTCATCTTGCAAGCTTAGATGTAGTACAGTAGTACGTTCATAGAAGACATCGAGAGCGATATATAATTGTGTGAAAATGATTGTAATAAGCTTAATTTACAAGTAACTTTTGTCATTATTTATGGTCTTCATGATTTTATCTAATGTATGCAAACACTGTAGTGACTAAAAAATCGTGTTTAGGTTTACTTCGACTTATAAAGATAGTGAACACTGACTTATTTTGTGATTGGTATTTGTTATTATTCACTTGGACAATGGATTGGAATTTAATCTGTCGAAATGCCGCGTCGTGAGCATCCTATCAAGGCAAATGGTATTCCCCACTTTAAATAACTTAGCGCATCCATCCCAGGGCCGTTCCTAACACTGTTGAAAACGCAAGCACAACCCTGTCTTGAAGTTCTCAATGTCGCTACTATCCCTCTCTTCAGAAGAAATATCAATCCTTTAGGCCAAGAACAAAAATGAGCAATCAAGTGAGAGATAGGGCTAGGACATAAATCTTACGAAGATGTATTTCAACAATTGGGAATATTCTCGCTGAACTATAAGAGGATAGGTGGTAGTCTAATAATGGCATATAGAATACTGAGTGAGCCAAACCACTCGGACCAGAAGATTCTACCAGTCGACATTTGAACAGTAGCATATTAAATAGCAACAACTCACGTGTGCTCTCACGTTTTCTTATTAGGATTTGGTCCAATCGGATTGCTAACCCGGCCGAAAAGATTGTAATACTTTCAGTGGATAGTTTTAAGATGATAAATACAGCACATATATTCAGAGTTTGACAGCACCTTTACTCGTAACGCCTTCATAATCGAAATATGCCAATCC